GAGCCAGGTTAAGACAGTAATAAATCCACTAACTAAACAACTGAATGAACCTTAATTTGAAAGATCAGAAGGCCTCAGGTAAAAGACACAGACCTACATGTATCCATGCAGGAATGACTTCTAAAATAATGTGTTCTTCACTCAGGGAAAACCCCAAAATAAACCTTTTGCACAACATTAAAATGATTTTTGCACATTATTCAGTATCACATCAGATGATCCACTGTCAGGGTACACAGACTGCAGCACAATAGAGAGCTGAGAATGTGGTAGGAATTTATTAAAGAGTTTTGACACACATAACACATGGCAAATCTCTTTTTCAGTTCTGTCTTCATTCAGCATGATAGTTTGGGGATATTATCACTCTCTACATATTCCAGTCCCTACCAGGTGCCTATGAGAGAGCTGGAGAGGGACTTCTTAAAAGGTCTTTCAGAAATAGGGCAAGGGGGAATGGCTTTAAATTGAATCAGGGCACCTTTAGATTAGATATTAGGGAGAAAATCTCTACTGTGAGGGTGGTGAGACACTGGAAAAAGTTTCCTAGAGAAGTTGTGGGTGTACCATCTCTGGAAGTGCTCAAGGCCAGACTGGATGGAGCTTTGAGCAACCTGGTCTAGTGAAAGGTGATGCCTATGTCAGGGGTTTGAAACTGGATGATCTTTCATTTTCCTTCCAAGCCAAACCATTCTATGGTTCTAAGATTCAAAGGGAACAAGCTCTTAACCATGTGACTTTTTGATAAATTTTCACCCAAACCAGAAGTTAAGATCAGCAGAAAAGTGTCTACTGCACTTATTAGTGTGCTATGCAAATAAAAAGGATCTGCTGTACCCAGTTAAACTTTATTCATGCTACATAGCAAATACATAAGACTAATTCCTCACACCATTCTGGGATAAACCTCACTTGCTCCCCATGTAAAGCAAGCAAATCTGGCTACCCATTAGGAACTGATAGAGTGGATTTACCAGAGAGGGCACAAAGGAAAGACCATACTCTTGTAAGATACCAAAATTACATACTCCATACAAATGCTGGCCTACTTTAAGGGATTAAGTGTCTTGAGAAAGGGTTCAAGTGGGGAAAATGATGCCACTCAGTGCACAGAGCCAGAGAAAGTGCACAGTTTCAGAGGCAGAGTGGAAGGAGAGAGGAATTTACCTATAGGGGCACACATTTTCATTTACTTCCTAGCATTTAAATACTTATAAGTTTAAAATAATTTCTAGATAAGCAGTCCTTACAAAATATGGAACTTCAGCTCATGAGACAAAAAATCTATCTTAACAATTTATCAAAACTTATTCAAAAGATAAGGCTGGCAAAAAGTGGTCATTATCAGTGCATAAAAATAGGGAGTTTTTAAATTTTGAAGTGACTACATGATGCTCTTTTGGAAAACATGTATGCTGAAAACTATCTTTAATGGTTTATCTTTATTTTAGTACCATGTTCTCCAAGAAAAAAGTTCCCCTAGGTATCCACCACGAGTAACTGGAAATCAAGGGACTGTAAGAATAGAACCATATGGAGTCACCTTGTCAGATCTTTGTCCTGCATCATCTTAAACAAAAATTCAACCACTTCTAGGTCAAATGAAAGCTAACAAAATAACTCCCTCATCCCCTAAAAATAGCTAAAGGAAAGTAAAGTATGGTCCTGTCATATCTAGCACATGCTTCCTTCAAAAATTCTGAAGACAAAAAATATCTGTTACCACAAGGCCAGCTTCAACTTGCCTTCCTCATTATCCTCTATCAGCAGCTTTACACATCAGAAGTGGATAGTTGTTAGGAAAGACACAGCACAGCGACTTGGAACACAAACTGAGTCGTGACTGCAGCTTAACAGCCTAGAGATAAGCAAGAGTCTTATCTTCCAACCAAAACAATACGTGAAGCTTTTCTATGCAGTTAATATCATTGAATAGAAGTAATTTTTAAATTAGATATATTAGTATATAAGGGAGTAGAGGAAGAGATTTCCCAGTAGAAACACAATACACTCCCACCAAGAGTAAATACTACCATAAAGATATTTTGGCAGTAATCCTAAACCTCCAGAACCTCTTGGTATTTGGCATATTTTGAAGTGGCGTAAAAGAAATTTCATGGTCTTTTGATTATCCACACACTCCACTAGATTCTAGATATTTAGTAAATACCACAAAAATGATGATATATCAACATTTGGCTTTTTTTCCCTTCCCTCACCATGAACTAGGCCACAAAATTAACAGGCCTTTTTAAAGAATACTCATACAGCAAATGACCTCCTATAGTGAACAGGGCTTTTCTATTCTGTCTTGGAAACCTCCTGGCTTGCCTGCAGTTTCTTTTTCTAGCAGTTTGTTCCTTGGAAAACAGCATATCCCAAGTAAAGCAAAACAAAGACTCCAGCAGGCAGAGCAATCACTGGGGATTTTCCCTCCTGCATACACTGAATTCCCAGAAGAGTTTTCTGGTGAGGGTGACCACCCAGCAAAATTCCCACAGTGTGGCACTCCAGCTGGGATAGGGGAACAGGAAATCTGCAGGGACAATCTCAGTTTCCCAATGTGCCCACATCTTTTGTACTAGTATAACTATTCTGGTTAGAATTAAAAAAAAATTTATTACAGTATGGTTGCATCCCAAAAAACCCTCTCCTGAGCGTCATTAACATGAACATGTCTCATAACGTTTATCCAGCTTTCCATGCACACTGGGATAAGTCATGCTGGTGTAATAAAAACAGGACAACTTTTACCACTGGCATAAATCTCAATTCTGTTTTCACAGCTTTATGCAGACCATGCAGTCTCCTCTGATGCTGCAGCCTGGGATTTAGGCTATATAAAATAAGTTTTTCAAAACTTGAAAACACTTGACTAACCCTTGCTGAACTCTGAGCTACAGATGCTAGAGAGGGACTGACACCCACAAGAGCCTGATGAGTGCCAGGTCACACATGTTGCCACAGCCAGACCCGCTGCTTCACAGAATCAGTTTGGTTGGAAAAGACTCCAAGATCATCAAGTCCAACCCAAGACCAAACTAGGTCTAGCTGACCATGTTCAACTAGACCATGGCACTAAGTGCCACATCCAGTTTTTCCTTACACACCTTCAGGGATGGTGACTCCTCCACCTTCCTGGGCAGCCCCTTCCAATGCCTGATCACAACTTCTGTGAATAAATTCTTCCTGGTGTCCAGCCTGAGCCTCCCTTGGCACAACTCCAGGCTGATTTCTTTTGTCCCCTCACTTTTGTCCCCTGGGAGAAGACTCTGACCCCACCTGGCTAGAGCCTCCTTTCAGGTGGCTCTAGAGAGTGATCAGGTCTCCACTGAGCCTCCTCTTCTCCACACTTAACATCCCCTGCTCGCTCAGCCACTCCTCATCACGCTCCAGACCCTTCACTAGCTCTGTTGCCCTTCCCTGGACTCACTCCAGCCCCTCAATGTCCTTTTTGTGGTGAGGGGCCATGGACAGAGTCACTGTCCAACCCTCCGGCCCCAGCACCCTGCCATGGGGCTGATTCCTGGGAAACTGGAGGCTGCTCTCCCTCCTGTGTGAGCAGGACTCCGTGTCACACTCACTCGCGAGCAGTTTAATACAGAATCGATACATAAACGAGTTTCAATAAGGCTTTAATCCGCTTTGCTGACAGCCTTGCCCGTGGCCCGGCCGGCCGAGGTTCCCGGGCCTGCGGCGCCCTCTGCCGGGCTGCTCCAGCACCGATCCCCGGTGGATCGGCTCCCGCCGCTCCCACACCCGCACCTCTCGGGCCGATGTTTCCCGGCTGCCAGGCCAGGGCTGTCCCTTCCCCCGGCTGTCCCTCTGGATCATTGAATCCACCCCTCCGCTCTGCCCGCCCGGCTGGGCCTTCTCCGCCACATTCCGGCACGGGGCTCCCTGGGGCGGCACCGGAGAGAGGGTAAATCACAGAGTGACAGGGTCAGTTAGGTTGGAAAAGACCTCTGAGATCATTGAATCCAAACTCTGAACAAACACCACCATCACATCAACTAGACCACGGCACTAAGCACCACGTCCAGTTTTTGCTGGAACACCTCCAGGGACAGTGACCCTGAGCAGCCCATTTCAAATGTTACTTTGCCCTAGGTACGGTACCATCACATCTCAAGTCTTTTCACACAGGTCAGTTCACAGTAAGATACTAAATAAATAAAGATCTATAGCTGACACAGAATGCTTCTTTAGAAATAAACTTACATTTTCTGCAGTAAAAAAAAAAAGAAAAAAAAAAGTACCATATCTTAGCCAGTAATATTCTGTTCTCACTGCTCCCTTTCTGGAGCTCTGCAATCCTCATCACTGAAAAGGGAGTCCGGCACATACTCCTTTACCTCACCATGCTCTATTCCCAACCCCTGGGTTTTTAGAGAATCACAGTCTCAAAGTACTAAATAGGGAATGGTCTCTCACCCACCACACTACAGGAAATTTGGGCAACAACTTGTCACAAGCAGCCAGGGACTGTACAGAGCCCAGATGATCATCTCTGGTGAGAAACCCTCCCACCTGATAACTTTTTGCACACACACTGACATACAAGAAATTCAATTTTAATGTAAGAACAAGTTGCTTCACTGCAAGGGTGACCAAGCACTGGCACATGTTGCCCAGAGAAGTTGTGGAGTCTATGCTCTTGGAAATACCCAAAACGAAACCCGACACAGCCCTGAACAGCCAGCTTCAGCTGCCCAGATGTGAGTAGAGGGGTTTGACAAGGCACTTTCCAGAGGTGCCTTCCCACCTCAGCCATCCTGTGACTCAGTGACCACACTACCAAGCTCTGTGTGACAGGCACTGCTTGGTTTTGAGGTTTGGCAGTCAAAGAAAATGCCTTGAAATACTTGCGTACATAATTCCTTCTGAAAAGATAAGGTAAGCAAAATCTCACACTGCCCCAATTCAAATGCAAACAAATATGAATACATTCCATAATTATAGCAGCAGCTTTTTTTCTTAAACTTGGAACAGTTTCTCACCTTACAAAGCTCATCGTTCTCCTCTTTGACAGGCAGAGAATTAGTATTTGTGCACGAGTCTGAGTCTGATATCTCTACTGAGCTGTCCTCTTTTTCTGACCCATTGCACTGATCGGTGGAATCAGTATCCTTCTCCCATTCAATAAGCTTCAATTCATCTAAAAGAGAAGATTGGTAAAAAGAGTTTTTCTTAATCACCATCTATTATAAGCACAAAGTCAGAGTAATACTATAGCTATCCTGAACTTGGGGGAAGAATTGCAACATTATTTTTTTACCTATGTTCAACTGATCTTTAAGTATTTTGTGTCTCATAAAGGCTAAATCCAACTAGCCAAAAATGTTCTGTGAGGAAGGATAAAAATCACATACATAACAAAAAAAAAAGGTGTCCTGTCTGCAAAGAGGCAGTACATTTAACTGTACAGGTAGGTAGGGTGTTCTTTTTAGTTTAGCTATTATTAATTTTTCCATGGTTTAGTTAGGGTTTTTTTGCCCAGCTGCATTGGATTTTCCACATGTACCTGTTCAGAATTAACTGTTCTAAGCAAATGCCTTAAACAATGTTAACTAACATCTGCTATTAGTGATAATCCTCACAGAGGAATGAAAAAGCTAGTTGAAATGGTCACCTCCTAGAATACCATGCCTAAATATACAGGTCTGCAAATCAAATCTCTAAGCACTTCAAAGAGAGAATTGTGGAGGACAAATTAATAGAAACACAAATAAGAAAAGATGGAGGTAAAAAGCCAACAAATAAAAAAAGCCCCAAACAAATTCACAATACAATGGCAATAAACAAAGAGATGCAGACAGAAATGCAGAACTTTTTTCCACCACCATCAGCACTGTGTATTTAATGCAACTCCAAAAGTCCATTTGTAACTCCAAGGATCTACTGAGGGGCATGGAAACCTGAGCTGCAGCAGCACCCTCACAATCCTTTAGGTCCAAATGCCACAAGGTGCTGAGAGAGATAATTTCAATGTGTTTTGCATAAATGAGCATGTTTGAAGGAGAAAGGATGCAAGATTTTTGGGGGGCTGCTTTTTTGCTTTTGTAAATGTCATATTTCTGACACTGGAATAGTCATGTACAGGGGAGAGGCAGCAGAGAAAGAAGGCACCTGCACCATGCTCCAGGCATCTGTACATACCCATGGAACTGTGACAGTACCTTCTGTACTTGGCAGTGCTACTATAATCTAAATACTAGTTTGGACATTGACCTTTCAGACTCTGAAGTCACTCAGACAAACACACAGCTATAGTGCTACCTCCTTTCACACACACAAATGCATTTCTGTTTCTGGCTATGAAGAAGCTTCATCAGAAATTTTAAACACAGACATCAGCAACCAGGTAGCACAAAGAGGTTTCATTTGAAGCTGTGTGACAAGTTGCATGCAATTTGTGACAATGGAATAAATTCCTTGATGAACACAAGACAATCCATTTAATCTTGTCACACTCAAGTACTGACACCCAAAGTGAACATCACATGAAAAGGAACATCTCTTTAGAAAATATTTTTTCTCTATTGTCACCACACCTACAACTGTCCCTATATAAGCACACACACACAGTGGTACACTGGGTACAATGCTAAAATTAGTGTATATCATGGTTACTATCAAAAAACTGTCATGGTTACTTCAAAAAACATGGAAATTACAGTTCTTTTACTGCCCACTGCTTTCAGGATCTTTTTGGGTTTAGAAGAAAAACATGCCAATTATTGGATTTTCTCAGTAGTCTTCAAGCAGATACGTAACACATCAGGGTTTCTTCAATTACACAGAGAAACCAAATTTTACTATCTTATAAGCATAAAAATGTCTGTGTATTGTCTCTTCAAAAAAAAAAAAAGAAGATTAAAGCCTGCAGGATACACTTGCAGGGGATAACTGAATGATATTAATGGTAGGTTAGAAAAATTCCTATTCAGCAACAGATTGCAGCTTAGAAAATGAACAGTCTTTCCTTTTCAAAAAGAAGAAGATGACTAGGAATTACAAAAGACAGCCATCAGATATGTCAATGACAGTGTTATATAGATGAAAGGAGGAAGATTTTGCATTTTTGTTTTAAACCGAAGGAGCATATTTCACCAGTGTCACACATGAAACAAAAAGTTGTCAGTCAATCTATTTGCTCAGCCCACAGCAGCATTTGAATGCTTTGCCAGACATCCAGGATCCAGTCTAACTGTAATATTTTAGATCTAGCTGAAGTACTGCAAAGTTAACCTAACTTATTTTACATTGTAAAGACTTCCCAACAAGTTCTAATGCAACTTATACATTCTCCCAATTAACACTTCTACAACAGAGCATATGATTTTTCTGTCTTCAGCTGCACTTTTTAATAAATTTCTCTTCCCTCTGTCATTTCCTGGTCCATGAATTAGAAAGGAAGTTCTAAGAACTAAACTCATGTCTGTTCACATAGTGCAGCTAACAGGGGAAGCAAGGAAGACTGTGTTCTGAAATGAAAATAGATGGCACAGAGGATGATGCTATCTGCAGCTGCAAAGCCTGCCATATCTAGTCAGTAGATGCAGAAATTGTGTTTCTTTACTCCAAGGTTTAAAGGTTTTGTACATAATTTAGTATAAATGCTTACTCAATACCCAGCTGAAATTTATTTTAAAAAAACCCAAAAAACAAAAACAAACCCCTGCAACTGATCTAACCAAAATAGGAATGCCATTTTGTCAGAATGACCTCAAGACTATTTTCATTACAGCACCTGAAATTGACAGAAGGTTTCTTGTTAAATCTTGCATTTGAACTTACCTTCACTACTTCTGTCCTCTAACAATAAATCACATCTGCCAGGCAATTCCTCTGTTTTGGAAGCGTCACTTTTTTTGCTGTCCAACCTTGGAATCAATGTTTTATTTCCATCATCTGAAAAATCACTGCCACTAGAGGTCCATATTATGTCCTCAGCTTCCTTAGAGCTTTCAGCAGCAGCAGCTCCTATGAAAAAGCATTGCAAAGTGTTAAGACTGTTACATAAACGCAGTTTTGTTAAATTTAAAAGTATTAAAAATTAAACTGTACTATTTTTAAAGGGCAAAATTATAAATTGTTACTAGGCATCAGAGATTAATACTGAAGCATTAACTCACATGTATTTCTTATTAATACATGCATTATTTTCAGTTTAGTTCTCCACAATAAATGCTAACATTTCATTTTATACAATGAGGCTACCATTGTGTCCTTCAGCAGTGTGAGGACAAGTCATGACTGTCTGACATTTAGTCCCCCTACACACAGTCCTAACACTCCTCCACTCCCCCACATGTGCCCTTGTAAAATGCTGAGTGGTTTAAAGAAAGACTGTCCTTAGAATTCTGGGTTTGGGAGCTCTATGAATATCCAATGAGTAACAAAGGAATAAAAGTATTCCACCAGTAGAGATTACTCTTCAGTTTTCTTTCAGTTTTTTCAGGAAAAAACCCAACTTCTCAGGTGTTGCAAAGAAAAGCAGGTGTGTTTTTGAAGTAAGACATTTTAATTCAAAATATATTTCTGCATTATTTTTAATCATAAAAGCCAGGAGAAAATGATTTGTGCTTAGCATGGAGCATACAGAACTAGGAAGGCAGAATTTTCCATTTCCTACCACTACTAAAATGTAATAAGTAAATGGGAATTTAGATAAATACTGGGAGTTTGGAATTAGGCAGAAGGGCCCAGAAGAGTAAAACACCACCACATCTCCTCCTGCAACACAGAGAGGTTCTTCTTAGAAATCTAGAAAAGCTAGAACCCCAAAAGGTAAAAGAAAAAGTGCCCAGTAGGTCACCTACTTACATCCAACAGAAGCAGCACAGCTGCTGGAGCAAGCAGAAATAGAGACTGAAAAATACCACCCCCTCCTTCTTTCCTTTCCCCTGGGCTCAAAAAGAAAGGAAAGAACTAGAAAGAGGCAGTAAATCCTCCTGCTCTTTATTCTGACTAGAGTTCTTTTTTTTAATGCCAATAGTAAGCAACTTGGGGGCATACAGAAGATTGTAAAAGCAGGAGGTTGATAAAACTCTGATTTTCTACCTATTGCTCATATTTACAAAATATGTGTGCTCTCACGCCTGCTTGCCTGTCTAGAAGACGATAGAATAATTTCACTTTCAATCTATACAGCTAAGGGCTATTTTTCATTCCCTCCTAATAAAATGTGAAGGATTAAAATATCCCATCCCTTTTATAATACACACCATATACAGCATTAGCTACACTTCTTTCACCTTTTCAAAAGCAATAGATGAGAGCCTGCAGCTTTGTGAATTAATTTCTGGCACTATGGGTGAATGGATGAGCCCTACCACAACAGTGAGAGACTGTGTGTCTTATCAAAATTAGCTTCTAATTACATTAACAGAAGAAGAAAGCAACCAGTATCTTGAGCCAACTTCTACCCCAATACAGGACAAAATAAAATAACAATAGTCTGACAATGTTAATATGAAATAATCAAAACATACTAGATGCACTTTCAGCAGATGTTAACAGTGGTCCAAGACGCTTCTTAATCCTGGATTTCTTATTAGAAGGCCTCTGGGACTATATAAAAAAGAGAGAGATTTAATCACTAGGACATTAAAAATAATTTTAACATCTATCAATATATTCAAAGCTGTTGTTACTCACGTACCAAAGCTTAGCAGAACAATTTCAAATGAAATTTAAAATATTTTACAAGACTGTAATATAATGAAGTATTACAGCATGAGAATAGTAACATAAAATCTGAATTTTCCTAGATTTGGAAAATACAAGCTTTCTATGACTATGACAGAAATCACACGTGACCTTGAGACGAACAGGAGCCAGTATTTTCAGCACTAAAATGTCAAAAGTGGGCAGTAACAACATGCTTGATAAAGCATGTGTTCTCTTGAAAAGTTACAGAAAGAATGACTTGGTTGCCGTGTCTCTGATTTTACTATATCCCGTAAGATATGCAACACTGTGACTGCTCAGTGCCAGACGAAGAAACAGAAAAGCAGCTTGGGTCAGCACAAAATACTCTTCGTTCAGATCTGGCTGATCGAGCAGGATTTTCTACACTTAATTCACTATTACAAACACATTCTTTAGGTCTAGCAAAAAATCTTCAGATGCAAACTACGGCAGTTTTGTACCACATTTTTTAGGAAATATAGCACTCCATCCCAAATATCAAATTACTTTTGCATCCTTCAGTGTATTACTGAAATTTTCTAAGTGATGAGTGCTATCTAGAATACAACATACTAACATATGCTCTGCAAGTTACACTAACAAGTTAAGACAATGTCCTTATGTAACTGTGCTTTCCATTTTCTGTCTATTTTGACAGTGGCAACAACATACTGTTAGTTTGGAAACAACACCAAAAGAAAAGGCAACATCTTATTATCCACTCAAGCATGGAAATTCACTGTCAGTTTCCATCTCTTTGTTACTCCACTAAGGCAGCATTTTACCTCCAGCACTGAAGTGCTCTCAAAACCATCCCCACACCTAAGCCACGCATTGGAAATCGAAGTAGCAGACACTGATGTCCTGACATTCGATTTTTTCAGACCTAGGGGTGTCTCATCTGGGAATGGTGTGCGTTCCGCATTCCAAAGTCTCTTCCGCTAGAGAAAGGAAAAACAAACCCATTAAAAACACAGTGTAGACATAATCAATTTCAAGTTAAATTTACTTACTCTAGATTTCCCCTAGTATTTTCTGAATGTTTAAAAATTCCAATTTTTAATGAGCTCAAGGAAAAAAAAAAGTCTCAAACATTTGCAAGCATCTTTTATGCAGCTCTAAACAATAACACCACCAAGGTCAGGGGAAAATTAAATTTTTTTATAAGTACACTTTCTGTTGGTCTGAGTTACATCTCATAATACCTGATAGTTGCCTAGTGAAGCTGAAAATATTATGCTACACAGGAACAGCTCACTAAAATACACTTTAACTAAATAATGCCTTCAAAGTCATATTTAATGTGCTTTAATTTTGTTTATGCAGGAGGTCACACTAGGTATCACTATACAGTTGACCATTAAAAATAACCAATCAACTAAAAAAAAACACCCCAGGTTCTTTCAGCTGTAAGAATTACACTTATTTTCACATCCATTTCCCTACCAAGAATGTTGCTTTCCCCTTACACAGGATGCCAGAAGTCATTTGGAGCATTAGATAAGTCACGAAACAGGATGTTGATTAGCATCCAGTGCTAATTTCATGCAAGAGATTGTAACTTCTGAAAATAGCTGAAGATGAGAGCATTGCCTGTTATCACATCCAAAGCTATCTCTCAGATTCAACACCAGTTTACACACAGAAATTGAACTTGAGCACGATAAACATCTTATCCTACTGTACTACTGAAATTTATCTTAGAAAGCACTGACTGTATCATCTAACTGCATCTGTCTTCTTCTGATATGCCTTCTCTCAAGCAACTACAGTTCCTACCTACAAATAATTATTACTCCAAAGTTAAGTTAATCAGCACACATTTTCTGCCAGGCTGGTCAATCAGGATTGTAACATACATGTCAAACATATGCACAACAACAAAAGAACAGAAAATGGAATCATAGAATAAATATTCTGAGTTGGAAGGGACCCACAAGCGTCACAGAAGCCCAACTCCTGGCCCTGCACAGACCCAAGAATCACACCACATGCCTGAGAGCACAAGCATTTGGCACTTTTGGTGCATTTTCTAAATGGCAATGCGTATTTGTTTTCCACAGGGTTTTTTCAGTGCTTTTGAGAATGAAACAAGCAGTTGCCAAAAGCGTACAGTGAGCAGCATCTTACTTCACCCCTCCAGTCACACAGTCCTGCTGTGCACAGTAAGAAGACAGAGCAAAACAAATGCACTTTGCAGTTTCCACTGATGATAGCTGACCCTGCTAAGAGCCTCTTCTAAAACTGCCAGGGGTATTTACACCTCAAACCACCTATTCATTATCACCAAAGTCAAACTGTCCCCATCACTGCTCCATACACTACAGATATATGAAAGGTACAATCTTGAATCTGACGTGGTATTAAATCCAGGATCAACAGTGCTTTGTAAGGACACGATGTCAGCAGTTTAACAAGAAAGGTTAACGTTACAACACAGAGAGAATTTAAATGCTGCTTCTCTCCCAGTGAAGATGCTGGCCCAAGTCTGGATTTCCACAGTGCTTAGACAGGAACCTCTACAGTGGGCTGTCCTCTTGGCAAGGGCTTCTGATGGTTTTTAACCTTAGTCAGTGCTGGGAGTCTTGCTTACATGCCTGGTTTTGTATCTTCTAGAAGATTTTGCAAGATATATTTTGCAAAGACTTACAGTATCAAATACAATTCATCTAAAGCTTATTTCTTGAATGGGATGCTCCAGTTTTGAGGAACAAGTCTGTGCCAACAGCAGCACCATAGCTTGCAAGCAGGACAGGACACCACTTCTGATGGTCAGTTAAAAGCAGAAATGGTTGCAAATAAGTGAAAATAAATGCACATAATTGCATGCACAAAGAGTTGCATGAAACAGGCTTTGTAATGTACTTCTGTTGTTAGCAAGCATCTTTTTAATAAACATAGAACTAGGGAGTTACTCTCTGTTAAGCTTCTCATTCATGTTATTCTTAAAATCATGACATCTGCTAACAGACAGCAGACCTCAATTTCTCAGTGCTGTCCAATACCAATACAGGAAAGAAAGAGCGTGACATAAGAGGCAGGGGATGAACAGAAGAACATGGCAGCTGAGACAGCCATTGCTGCACAATTGCCAAGATTTTGGAAGGGGACACCATATAAAAATCAGCAGGATGAAGGCTACATGTTAACTCCCTCTCCCTAAGTAAGAAGGGTTAGGGTGCAAATAGAAAGGATGTGCTTACAGGCAATAAGGTTAAAAAAGCAAACTGAGTAGAACAAATAGCTAGGTTTATGCTTAGATGGTTACACTTCTATTTAGAGTGCAAGCTGAAGTTGCACTGGAAGCGACTTTTAAACAACTGAAATTCAGTATACTAGACAGTCATGGCTGTGACAGGCAAGAACACTTTTCATAATTGATGACTTAACAGCAGAAGAGTTTTATTTAACCTTGCACTTCCTTAGCTGCAGGGCTGCTCAGGTTTTCAGAGCAGCACTGCAGAGCTGTCTTGGGGCAGGTGGCTCCTTGACAAACCACTGGAGTCCCCTCTTCCCCTTCTTTCCGAGCACTTGGCACTCACCAAACTCTGTGCAGACACAACAATGATGAATAATCAAACTGACAGAAAACTTCTTTGGGAAGGAACACTTGTTATCTACAGCTGGTGCAGCAGCACAAGAAAGGATACAAGGATCAGTGGGACCAGTCCAGCAGCTGCTTGACACCATGGCAGCTTAATTAGAACCTGAAGAACAATCAGTACTGTGGACAGCTCTGGTTAATTAGCTCTTTGTTTCACCATGCATCCTGCTCCTCAGATTCAAGAAAATCTGAGAGTTTCTGCTACCACCACACAGAAATTTATAGCCACTACAATCACTGAGAAAACCTGAAAACAGTCCCTGAAGTCCCAAACCAAGAAAGTACAGAAATACACCCTTCACATGAGATATTCCTCAGCTACTACAAATACTGTCAGACTCCACTTGGAAGGAAACAAAAGAGAAGGACTTATGATTGTTGATACTGACAGCAATGGCTTTGAATTCCATGTTTTTAATACAAATACACTGCCACCATTTCGCACATCCAAGATCAACTTAAACTGGGAAAAAAACAAACAAAAAAAACCAACACCCCAGAGCCAATTACCCCATCCCAAACTCCTTGCAATTTAAATCTCTCCACATAAATATTTGATGTGAATTCAAGAAACTGGACCTAGAGCTTCAATCCACAGTCACTGAGAGGACCTGGGAGCAGGTGAGGGAGCTGAGAGCAGCCTGCAGGGCCTCTGTTTGGCTCTTTGCCTTCAGATAAGGTGGGAACAGTGCCAATGCTGGGCACAGCACTGTCACCCTTCCCCTGCAAAGCCACCTTGGCACAGAGGGGCAGTGTCCAAGGACTTCTGTCACAGCAGTACATCTGCTGGCATGCAGAAATGGCAAGTTTTAAAGGCTCTTAGCTTCTGCTCCAGCCTGCTTCACGCAGCAGAGAAACTAACATTTTAAGAAGCTTACTTCTCAGGAATAAATATTTATAATGAAGCTAATCTAAAGGCTGTGCTGTTCCCAAAGAAATGCAGCAACAACTGTGAGTTCTTTTAATCTTGAGTCACAAAGTTAATAAACTTTTTCTTTTAATCTGAAATAAAAATGGGGCACACAAAAAGTAACTTGTGTAATTTATTGAAGGAACACATGAAGTGTCTAGAAACAAGGTACTGGAATTTAAAAAAAAAAAATCACTGAATCAGGCTCAAAAGAGCTAGAGCATGTAGACCTGCCGTACAACACAAAATTAAGATTTATTACAAAACAGAGTCAGACAAAGAACCTTGTAAATTGCATAAGGTGTCAGAAGCCAAAATATGACCTCTGAAATTTTGAGTTAAAAAGGGGATGGCTACCTCATATAGAAATTGCCTTGACATCTGCTCCCAAAAGCATTGCATTTTGTCTCTGGAGCAGTTCCTTCTATATGAGTGAAAAAAAAAAATTGAGCTACACCTGTCAGCATTAGTGGAATTAGGACCAAGCCTTCCTCATAAAGGGCACGGCAAGCAACCTTACCCCATTACTCCTTTAGTTATTTCCAGTGAGATGAAGGTAAGTCAGCCTACATGGGTGCAGGTGAGAGGAAAAGGAAGGCACACTCTGAAAAAACCATGAGAATGCACAGTGATTACACAACAGCAAGTACAGGGCTGGAGTGTTGGATTTGACTTTTAAATAGATGTTCCTACCTAGAACATCTCCACTCAACCAATCTGTGAAGTTACTTATGCCCAAGACTTGTTACCCAGAAACACCCTATATAAAGTCATTGGGACCATATGCTCAAAGGCTACTCACTACACACCCTTTACACTTCAATCCCACTTCTTTGGGGCTACTTCAAAAACCACAGGAAGAGCCCCCAGGAACACATGACCCAATATATTATCTACCTCATGTGCAAGTGGCATTTCTTTCTATCATCACCTTCTAACATCACCTTCTCTAACACAAAAAGCAACAGAAGCTGAAGGAGAAAACCAGTGATAAAACATTTCACTACATGAACTCTTCCTGCTACTGGCTTTCAAATCCAAAAATTAGTCACATCACTTAAATATCAGTCAGAATTACTCAAACACAACTGTTATATTCTTCCTGAACAGAGCAGAATGAAAAAGCATTGAAAATCACAGCTCCAGTTGCCAGAGAGTTTTCATGTTTTAAAAAAAAAAACCTGATGGGAGCAATCACATAAAAGTATGCAAATATCCAACACCGACCAACAGCCATCCTCATCTTTCACCTTTGTTCTCATCAGTTTCACAGGAAAATACTCCACTTAAAACACTTAAGCTTATGTTGGCCTTCAAAAGTCCAATTTCAAGAGAGTACAAATTTGACAACAAGCACCCCACTTTCAGCAAAGAGCCATTCCATGATACAGAGTTAAAAGTGCAACAACTGTTTTCAGTGCCTAGATTAAAAGTAAAGTTCTAGTTCTAATTTAATCCTCGCATTTTAAACTCTCAAGTGAGCATTCAAATAAAGGTCACAGACTCAAAGTCATGGTTTGTATTTTTTTCCAGTGAAGACTGTTTTTTTACTCCTGTGAAAATCAGTATGCATATTTTCCAAAGATGACTCACAAGGACACATGTGGTCCCTAGAAAGGTTCTCATCAAGTTGTAATCATTCATAAAAAAAATAGATGCTGTAGAATCATAGTCAATGACAGCAATGATAACCTGCCATGCCATACCTCCTTCTACTCTCATGGTAAAGAAATACTAAAACCAAATTAAAATCTTAAAATAATTTCCCCATTGCTATTGATGTGTGAGACCAAAATTTTAAAACACTCTTTCAAAACCTTTCTTTGTGTTCATGATTTTTACTACATTAGATAAGACTATCCTCAATGACTTACACTGACATATATAAGATTACCATTTGAATGTCAGGATGTTTTAACCTACACATCCTTTTTAAAGCAAGAATATAAATTATTATATGCTTACATTGAAAAAAAACAACTCTCATGAAATAAGAATACTATTGCAGTATACTTTGTATTAACTAGTGCCAAGCAGAGAGAAATCTACAATCTATGAAAGCAGTTAAAGCAGAAATATTTTAGAAAAGTTTACACAAAATTAAGTTATCCAAAATATTTAGGATATAGTAACAGCATCACACATTTTTGTTACGTCTAGATTGGCATGGATTTTTAATCAATTAATAGTCAGCAAGTGCTCTATTTCCCCCTGATCAGTATGAGTTTTCATTCATCAAGGAACATTATCTTTGTCAGCAAAAGGGGTTAAGATTATCACAGGCTTTTGCCACATTGCAACAAGTTGGTTAAATCCTGTTTCAGTTAAGTGTGCATTTTCTCACTAGGCAAGAATGCAAAACCTTTCGGAAGAAAATATGTGCAGTGTCAATTTACAGGTTAATTTATGTGAAATATAGTAGACTATTTTAAACCTTTTTTTAGTAGGCTTTTTTTAAAGCTGATGACATTTTCTTCCATTAAAATTTATTTGAAATGTGCTTATATTTACAAAGTGGTTGAACATACACACCAGTATAGACAAAATTCTCTAAGAACTATATCTGTCATTTGGCAGTTCTATTTGTCAGCTCTATATATCAAACAACACTTGTAGTCCCTCTTTCAACAGTACCTCAGTATTAGCCTAGCCTAAGCTAATCAGAGCCAGCACATCCTAATTGCCCCTCTGCGGGGAACATCCAAAGGACCAAGCAAATTACCAAAGCAAAGGAATAGAAAAACAGCACGGGGCGCTTCTCCTCCCTCCACACACACCCAGACAAGGAAGCTGCTCAAAACAGTATCAATCCCGGCCAATTCCCACAATTCTCTTTTCCTCTCAAGTTTTACTCTCCCTGCACTTTTTCCCCGCCTGCCAAGTAGGAAGGCCGAGCCCCCCGCTCCCCTCGGTGCAGCAGCGGCAGGATGGATTCCACTGTCAGCGTTGCACAACCGCGCACACCGGGAACGCGGGGAAGGGCCCGGGCTCCCGCCCCGCGTTCCAGCGTGGCGGGTCCCCAACACAAGCACCGCCTGGGGGCCGGATATGAAAGGGCAGCGAGGGCGCGGCGGCGGCGGCGGCGGCTGCTGCTGCTGCTCTGCCGCCACCACCGCCACCAGCCACCCCCGCGCCCCTCGCAGCGGGGCCGGGAGGCGCGGCTGGCCGGCGGCCAGGGCGCACGGCAAGGCCGCCGCGAGGAGCGCGGGGAGCGCCACGGCTCGGCCCTGCGGGGCGGCCAGGGAGCATCCACCATCCCGGCTGAGCCCCTTCTCCTCCCGTCCCGCCGCCGCCGCCGGTACCTTCCCGCCTGGCATCGCCCCCGGCGCGGCGCCGCGTCCCCGGTCACGTGGCGGGGGAGCACCGGGGGCGGGGCCGAGGGAACCCCCGGCCCGCGCCCGCCCTTTGCAGCTTTGGCGCCGCCGGAGCCGCGGCTCCTGATTGGGTAGAGCAGGGGTGACGTAAGGGGCAGGGCGGGGTTCCCGGCAAGGAGGGGCTCTGGGGCCGGGCCGGGCCGGTGGCGCGGGAGCTGCTCCGTCCTGCGGGAGCGCTCCTCGGGAGCTGGCGGGCATTTCCCGGCGGGGAACGCCAGTGCTGGCCCAGCGTCCCTCCCGCCCTCCCTGGCGAGCTGCCCCGAGGCCCCAGGCGGATCTGGGGGTGCCTCGACCGAGGGGGCTGCCGCCAGCTGGGCTGTGTGTTCTCTGCCCAGGGCACGGGCTGAGCTGGCAGCGCTGATTTTTGAGGGCACGGTGCGGAGAGCGACATCTGAGCTCTGCCCTTCTCTGAGAAGTTTTTCAGCCTGGGTTTCGCCGCCGCATCCTTCGTGATAGCCAAGGTCACACATGCATCCTTCGGGATACCCGGGTTCACTCAGAAGTTAATCTCCAACGAGTGTTTAGCCCCACAAGGAAAGGAAGCGCAGGGATGGAAACACTGGCTAGATACCTAAGCAAGTCATGTCTAAACGCAAGGCACTTGATGAAAAATACGTTTGCTGTTACGCCGTTAAAATAAGATTTTTTTAAACTTCCTAAACAAAAAGTAAGCCGATAATGTACTGGCAAAAAGGGTAATGTCGGTGCCAAGATGTTGACTTGGAATCGGAACTTTGCATGGACGTTGTCTTCTGTAAAATGACAAATTGCAGCTAACAGAAGGAAAAAAAGGCTGATCACCTTTGCAAATGTTTTACTAGTGCAAGTGGAAACACTGGCAGAAAAGGGACAGAGAGGTTATTTTTATATTGCTTATTGTATATTCTTGACAAGGTCACCTTGGTTGTCAGTGCTGCTGTTAAACACAATAATAATAATAATAACAATTTTGTAAAATAAGGTAGTTATATCTCATAGCTTGATTAGAATTTATAAAGTACTTAAATCTTGATAGAAGGTACTGCATGACTGCATTTTTATTGTTGAGCCCTAATTACATATATCCGTCTATAGTTCAGTTTGCATTTTTCCCAAAGCACCCTATGGCAAACACCCGTCTGGCATTCCCTTTATAAAACTGCCACTAATTAAAGTAGATTTTGCAAACAGAAGAGACAAAAATATCATCATCCAAACCCCATACTGCCTTTGATTTTTATGTTCAAAACAGAATTAAAAGCACTGGGTTCTCATCCTTCCAAAAATTTGCAGTATTTCTTCTGAAATTACCAGACAGACAAATTAATTCTATTATATATCCTCGAGGTAGTTTTTTTTTTTAATGTACGTTATTACACTGCTTAGCTAAATAATCTTATGTTAGAGCTAAACCGCAGAGAAATGGACCACAGAAGTCTGGTCTACTTTAGTGAGTGTATTTTTTCTGTACATAAACTCCTTCCAAGAATTCCAAGGTGCTCACACCTGGGAGGAACTTACTTCTATAGAATCCCAAGAAGGTGACTCAATCTATAGATTCTTTTTGTTTGCATGTTCTTTACACACAAGTACTGAAATGACATGAAAGTAGAGGAAGCATATGAGAAAACCACATGAACTAAAGCAGAGTTGCAGCTTTTTAAAAAATAATGTCTCAATTTCATTATTAGAAATAATGTGAAGAAAGATTAATAAAAGCCAAGCTTCTTGACAAAAGCTGAAATTTCATAGTACTGCTACTTATTCTTCAAGACTGTTAAAAATTTCTGTGCATTATATTTTGGAAGTAATAATTAACACAGTTGGTCATTTTTTTATGAACTGAATTTTTTTTATGGTTTTTCAACTACATATACAAGCATATCTGTGTTTTCACAGGCTTAAATAATGGTTTGAGTCCACTGTTTTATCTGATATACTGATTGACTGTATTTGCACTCAAGATCAAATCTACTGCTGCCCAGGGAACATTAAGAAATGGTGTACTTTTTCTATTTTTGTTGCATGAATATTCTATGAAAACAGTAAAATTTCTTTTAGCAATAAAAATTCTTTCTTTAGTGAAATCCAGAAAAAAGGGAATTTATTTGTTGGGGGTGATTGCACCAATGTTCCTTAATCCACATGTAGAAAGAACTCTTTCAAAGAAACAAAATGTATTTTACACAGATGAGTTAAAGGTAAGGAAGCTTAAATTACTGAAGTTTGGAGAACTTGTTTCTATTGATTGAATGTGCCCGTCCTTCATTCTAATATGGGTTTATGGATTCATTTCCTCTTACAGAGCATTAAGTTTGAGCTTTAAAAGCTTTCCAGTGTACAAAGTGTGGTACAGACAGTGTCAAATTCAAACACAGAAAAAGGTTTTTGGTTTGAGTCATTTCTTCAGGAAAGTTTTAAAAGTCACAAGTATCCCAGAAACTGAACTGGGATGAAGTAGGTGAGGGAAAACTCATCAAATATTTTAGAGTCTGTCTTTCAGGGTCACATAGGTTTTTATGAGTTTGTCAGGCAAGAGGTGATCCAAAGGCCTAGGCTAGACAGATCACAGTCTAGATCCAAAATAACATTTTCTTCTACAGACTGTGTTGCAGTTTGATCATTCCAGGCTTTTTAAGGTTTTTTTTTTTAGGAAATAACATGAAACACTTAAGTCTTTTTAATCCTCAAGCTATGATGTCAGTTCCACTTTAAATTAAATCGCACTGTTTCACAGTACAGTGCATCACTATGCTGAGGCAAGCTGTAAACTGTGGAAGAAACGGGGGAAAAACCCCCACAAAACCCCTCAGGGGATGCCAGATTGCAGTGGATCAAAGAGTCAATTTCTAACGTTCACACAAATTAAAAATTAATAGCTGATCATTTAAGAATCAAAAGCAAAACCAGGTTTTAAATGAATCAGCACACCCAGGAAGCATCTCTTTAGCAGCCCTTGCCCCTGGGTCCGAAAGATGTGAGGGGCTCCAGCCTCTGGAGTGTCCTGGCTGCTCACTGAGCCTAAGCCAGCTCATCCCAGCATCCCAGCTCCAAGTGCCCCCATGGCATCTTGCAGTGGCTGACATTTTTGTCATCTCCTGCTATTTCTCTGTGTCAGTGCTATAAAAGGAGTATGAGTGCATAACTTTCTGGCAGACAGTAACATTTGGGAAACATATTTGCCTACTTTTTATGAGATGCCTCTGTAGTTTAATAGGGTTAGTGCAAATAAAATAATATTTTCCAATCTGAAACTGAACATCTGTCATAAAAGTACTCTCTTTTGGCTGTAGCTGCTGAGAAAAAAATGCAGACACATATTCAGAGCTGGAGAAAAGTGACGTATTTTAAACTTCAATCGTTAGACCAGTTTACTGCCATGAAAGTTTTTCCTCTTAATTTAATTCAAAAAGATTTTAAAATTACTGAGGGGCTGATAACACTGAACTTTATAAATGTTAGTAACTCCAAATATTGAATTTCCTCTTTTAGGCCTAGTATTAATACCACTTTAGCCTATTCATGACTGTGGTGTACCCTTGTGCTGAAGATTTTACAAACACTGTTCCTGAAAAATGCCTTGCCCAAGGGAGAATGGTATGTTAAAGAGTGGGTAGAGTAATATATTAGTTCCTTCTTCCCTTCTTCTACTGCTTTGGCAGCTGGTCATTTTAGGTTTGGTCTCTACGTGACTTCTTTCTGCTTTTTTTCATTTCTTGAAGTAGGCAGGAATGTGCTGTTAGATGCCTTCTAGATAAAGGCTATTGCATAGCACACAGCTGTAAGGTGAGGGATAAACAAGACACAATAAATTATTAAAAATCAAAGTTGCCATACTAGGCAGTCTTCCCTATCTGAGAAGCTCCATCATTATTAATTTATTACTATAACTTAGAGAGAGAAGAATGAAACCCAAGGATTTATTGGGTTATATATATATATATATATGTGTGTGTGGGTGTGGGTGTGGGTGTGAGTGTAATGTATTTATCATTTATTCTGGGCCATCCTGAACCCTCATCTATTTGCCTACCATTCTGATATGCATGGAGACAGCACAGTGTAGCAGTAAAGCACATGACTTGAGCTTGGATTGCTGGGCTTGGCTAGTCTGTTTGTGTGTGGTCTTAAAGGCCAACTATTCATATGAACTGTGATGCCTAAACCAAGGAAACTCCTTAAATCAGCAGCTAGCAGATCAGTATAATTTCCAAAGAATTCTCAAACCCCATGCTACTTGTGTCTCAGCTTGTTCTGTGATATTCCATACTTATTCACAGTCTGTTTCCTGCTCTTTAGTATAACTTGTGCTGCCTCCTTTGATGTGCTCATTAGCAAACACGGAACATGCTGGAGTTCAAGCAATTGCATTTCACATGTAGGCAGTCTTTGACATTTCCTGTTTAGTGGAGTATTTATGAGGGTTTGAGGGGTTTTTTTTTGTGTTTCATTTATCACCAAAATAGTTTTGAGAGAATAGGAGATAAAACTTGTATTCTCTGTCTGCTATATCTATGTATCTTCTGTATCTGTATATTTTTGACATAAATCCAGAAGCCTGCAAAGGGAAAAAATACCTTTTTTTGCCTACCTTCTACCTTTCAGAACAGCAAACACCTTTTCTACTACTGTTCATCATACTCCTAATAGTTGTTCAGACAAATTTCTGCTTTCATGTTTGAGGCTTCTAAGGTTAGAGTTAAGAAGTGAAAGTGATAATTCTAAAATGCTTTGGCCTGTTTCAGTAACTTACTTGCACTAAAAAACTGCAGTTAGTACAGTACAGATCGTGAATCTTATGTACCCTTGTAAATGAATTCAATAGCATAACACAATTTAAAAATGTGATAATGGCAATGAAGGGGATCCCAAATCAAAATTCAAGCTATGAACACTAATTAAAATTACAGTTGGCTCGTGAACTAAAATTCATACACTTTAGCTTTCTTAACTGGTATCAAGCATTTAGCTCAGTAACCTGAAGCTGAGTATTAAAATTCTGGGTTGTATTCAAGAGCAGAAGTTCAGCTGCTGCTGCTGCTGCTGGAAGCAGAATGCAGGTGTAAGCACATCTCAATTGATTAAAGTGTAATTAATAATACAGAACAAGAACCATTGCATACAGTTTGCACTTAACGATCATAACTTGTGCATAATTCCTATCAAACCTGCCCAGTTTGTAAAATAACACTGACTCTCACAATATATGAGATGCCTCATGGGGTGCGAGTAAT